TTTTTTTGTACCTTAGTACTACATATTTTCAAATTGTGGAAATTATCGATGGTCAAAATTTAAAAAATTCATTGAAATTCAAGCAAAAATAGTCTCTCAAAAACTCATGAATCTAGAAAATCGTATTTTCTGACCTAAATCGACAGGCCGCGACCTCTAAATGGCCTTTAAAAAATCTATAAAAATAGGCAATAATATTTCTCATAAAAACGAATCAAATTAGGGGGTAGGGTCTTTAAATTTTCAAAAAAAATCATTTTCAATGGGAAACCTAATGTATATACTATATAGACTTTCTTCTGTTCGCCCATCCATCAGCAGCAGTCACTCAACATTTGAATCCAATGAATGAATTAAATAGAATTATAATCTGATGACATGATGAGATTAGAAGCCTCATGGCTCTTTGGACTTTCCAGACGCTGAACACGCCGCCGCCGCAAAGCCTGTCGGCGTAAACCTCTAATACATATGTATGTACATACAAACATATGCACAAAAACTTTGACTATTCTGCACAATTTTCGAGGTTTTCTGGGATTTTTTTTTTAATTACAATTTGAATTAGTTTCGCAACACACACACACATTTTTAAATTTAAGTTACACTGAAAAAGAAAAACAATTTAATTTTATAGCTTATTTTGTCCTTATTTGTTTAGCACTAATAAGCGCTTTTTGCGTTTTGCTTCACCTGCCATGGCAAAAATGGTGAATGCCAAAAATGATGTATTGCCATTTGTATCACGGATTGTTCATGTCATTCAGAAAGGCATGGTTTTGAACGCCACAACCAACTTAATGATGTCCTTCGCCAGCAAAGAGTTCAAGGAACGAGTAAGTATAACAAAAACATGCATACATACATACTAGTTGCGATCCCGTACGAGTCCGGACTAGTCAGAAATAGTCAGAATCAGTCAGATTTTACTGGAAATCGATCCCGTACTTGGTTCTCTGACTATTGAGNCTCGGAGGTGATGGGACGGATTTTTCTCAAAAAAAGTTTGTATATCCTTAATAAACAACCGCGTCTTTTATGTTTAAAATGTTTACCGTAAATGTGTATCTAATAATGAAAACGTTTGACGCAATAGGTCAACACAAACACATACGTATGTACATATATAACAAAAGTCAATTCGAAGCCAATTTCAATTAAAATTTGTATGTATATAATTTCTTAGATATTATGCCATAATTAAGTCGTCTTGACATTACTCCCGTTAACTTTTCGTAAATCCAGTAAACAATTTTATCTTTGGCCAATAGGTTTGATATGTTTAAATTTTAGACGCAATTTTTTGTAGCTGGAGCTTAAGCACGAGGTTCCATTTGCTCTGGACCTTTAGCCTATTAATAGTTCCAAAAGCGAAACAAAGTCCAATGTAGGAACCGATTTTTTATGTATGTATGCACTTACTACATGTCTATATATCGCTGGCTTAGAGTGAATATTTAGTTGCTAAGTCCACTTTTTTTGAAAACTAATATTTTGATATAGGAGGCTAGAGAAAATAAAAATACATCGTTTCAAAAAGGATAAAGATACTTGTTAGCAACTTTTCACTCTAAGCTAGCGATATTTATACTATAACAATTANGTCAACACAAACACATACGTATGTACATATATAACAAAAGTCAATTCGAAGCCAATTTCAATTAAAATTTGTATATAATTTCTTAGATATTATTATTATTTAGAGAAAATAAAAATACATCGTTTCAAAAAGGATAAAGATACTTGTTAGCAACTTTTCACTCTAAGCTAGCGATATTTATACTATAACAATTATTTTTGCAACTCATTTTCTGTCGGTTAACCATTGAAATTAATTCTGGCTGTTAAATAGTTTGAAAATATTTTAATTTGAATTTAGTAACCAGTTATTTGAAATAAGTATTTTTCACAATGTCAGACGAAAGAGATTTAAAAAGACTTTTGTTTTAAAATACTTTTATAGAGGGTTGCCACCTGCTTTAAATTAAATATCAGAATATTAGTGTCAAACGAGTTTTAAGAAGACTGAAGTTAGAATTGTTTTTTGATTAGGGTTGCCACCTATTCGAAAATTAATATCTATCCATCCATGGACATATATGGGTATTTCCATACGCCACATACGTGACTGTCGTACATACGTTTCAATGAGATACAAACAAGGAAAAGCATTTGTTTTCTTTTACTTTTTTTTTGGAGCCTTGTGCAGCACATACATAATNATTTTTTTTGATTAGGGTTGCCACCTATTCAAAAATTAATATCTATCCATCCATGGACATATATGGGTATTTCCATACGCCACATACGTGACTGTGACTGATACAAACAAGGAAAAACGTTTGTTTTCTTTTACTTTTTTTTTGGAGCCTTGTGCAGCACATACATAATTAGCCCTATATTTAACCGAAAAATAACCCCATTCGCACCGCATGGTCAATAATGTTAACAAGGAGAAGTTCATTAGCATGGTACACTACATAAATAATTATTTTTATTTACATACATAATTTGTTTTGACACATTTGTAATCAATTCACTTTTGTGTATGAAGATACATATCCACGATGGCAAAAATTTCGACAAACTGCGAAACATGGTCGGCTACGAGAATTTACCAGCTGAGGTACGTATGCATATAATATGTACAACTATTTATTTATGTACATATGTTTATAGTATATATATATGTATATTATCACTTGCGTAGGGAATGAATTTGACGAAGCGAACGGTTTAGCGAACGAAACTAAAATATGCATTAATTGGGTTCGCTTGTACCAGCTTGTGCGAGTTCTTTGCGTTGTGAACACTCTTAATGCCTTCTCTGCCGCTTAATTCGCTTCGGCAAACCGTTCGCTTCGCCAAATTCATTCGCTTCGCAAGTGATAGGACCACCCATAAATACAAGAACAAACATATCGTCCCTATCAAACCAAAATGGCCTTTTTGATAAACGTGAAACTTCAAGGAGAAGTAATAAACGTTTTACATTTACATAGAGAATGCTTATTGTATTCATAGGGATGAAACGATACAAGCGAATACAAGTACATACTCGATACTTTTCGTTCGATACCAAGTAATTTTGGTATCAATACTTTCGAACCAAGTACTGAGTGTGTATCGAAAAACAAATACTCGTATCGAAACCCGCCACAAAGGCAAACTTGGCTTCGGCAATATTTCCTCCACTGTTATTCCTAAGCGCTTTGTTCTTCATGGCTGCTTAATTGCCAGCAAAAACCGCGAGAAGGCCACAAAGTCAATATAAGGCANTCATACTCGATACTTTTCGTTCGATACCAAGTAATTTTGGTATCAATACCTTCGAACCAAGTACTGAGTGGGTATCGAAAAACAAATACTCGTATCGAAACCCGCCACAAAGGCAAACTTGGCTTCGGCAATATTTCCTCCACTGTTATTCCTAAGCGCTTTGTTCTTCATGGCTGCTTAATTGCCAGCAAAAACCGCGAGAAGGCCACAAAGTCAATATAAGGCAACGTATGCAAGGCCCAACTGTTCGAGTGGAAGAGTAAACTGGATGAATGCTCAGTACCATAGTTGCCAACCTGATGCTTTAGGCACTAGATTTAGTGCTTTTTGAAAATTGAAACGCCTAAAAAAATTATTTAGTGCCTAGTGCCTTTTTTAGTGCTTTTTTTCTGAACTAAAATTACTTCGATATAGTTAAGACCTGAAATAATTTTTAAATATTTAAAACTGTGGCAGCACTGAATTGACAAAAATCTACAAATTTAAATGCACTTAAATACAACCATGATTGATAAAAAGCTGACCTTGCATATGCGAGTAAGTTAAGTATCTCTTTTTTTCTTTTCAAATTATTTGTAAAAATTTTTATTTTTGTACCACCCGAGTAAAACACATCGTTTCTTGGTGCTGAATCCAAATCTGGCCGCACAATTGCTCTAGCACTAGAATTTTGAGATATCCTAATCTCAAGGTGCCAAAATCACGGTTTTTGGCGATGTTTGAGGGTACATAATGAAAACATAAATTTTTTTGCTCATTTCTACTTAGGGCATGATTTTCCTTGGTTGGGATTCGATTTTTCTTTCTTGAGATATATCAGTTTTAATATGCAGTACTTCGGTATTACGTCGTAGCATGTGGCTTTTCAATCGTTATGAGCGAAAAAGTTTTGTTTATTGATTTATGTATGCAATCNATGCAGTACTTCGGTATTACGTCGTAAGCATTCAAGTTGAGAACTAGCATGTGGCTTTTCAATCGTTATGAGCGAAAAAGTTTTGTTTATTGATTTATGTATGCAATCTTGCAAATATTGTTAACTTTTTGTTTTTGTTAAATACTTACAAACTGTTATGAAAAAAGCATTCATTGATTGAAAACCATTTGGTGCTTTTAGTGTGGCAAAACGCTTTTTTTCTAAGTTTTTGGTGCTTTTTGAAAATCAAAAGTTGGCAACACTGCTCAGTACAGACATTTCAGAACGATGTTAAACTCACTGAGTAACTCTACTCACATGGCAGGCGCTTAACACGCGTTTTGATACTAACACCAAAACAAACAAACAAATATACTTGCGATTAACTCGTGTTAGCATGTCAACACCTAAAGTAAAAAGCAACCAAATACGGGTAGTTGTAAACGCGCGTTTAGCTCCCGTCATGTGAACAGGGTGTTATTCTAAAAAGACTAGCGGAAAATACTAAAAGCAGGGAAGTGCAGCTCTTTTATTGAAGAAAAGAAACAAAGAAGAAAAAGAGCTGATTGCAAAAAAATACTAAGCAGATTTGTGCATTTTGACAGTTATAGAGTGCGTTTATTTAAGCATTTTTTCATTGAGCTGAACTCATTCTCGGTCAAACCAGATACATAATCGTTAACTTATTACCAAACAAATTTAATTTAACTTAGTTCATAGGGAATGCCTTCATAGCCAAAAGTATTGATATGAGTAGGTATCGATACTTTATATCCGATATTATTCAGGTATCGATACTTTCTTTCGGTCCTACTTTTAAGTTAAAGTGGCGATACAGCCCAATAAACACTAAAAAAATATTTCTCCAACCTTGGAGAAATTCATAGTTCTCAAGTTGATATCCAACATCATTCTCCGACTCATCTCTAGCCGACGCGCAGATACGTAAAAAGTGATAGAGAAACGAATTTTTAATTATCAAGTGTAAAGAGGAAAGTTACAAAAAAAGTAAATAATCTTCAAAGTAGCCTCAAATAATCTTGAAAGAAATTGAAACGCTAAGTGAATCAAGTGGCAAAATTACTGTCGGACTGTGTACTATGGAGTGAATCACTGTAATATGATATTGATTAACTACATAATGCAAAAGGAGTAATAAAATGAAAAATTAATATTTAAATTCATCTATGTATGTATGTCGTTTCAATCAAAAAGGTATAAGGTATTTTACTACTTCAATTTCAGTATTTCAATGATATGTTTGAGACTAATTAGAGAATTAAACTGGAGCTCAAGTTGAGAACTAGCATTTTCTCAACTTGAGAAACAGTCCTTTTTTCATACAAAGAAAAATGCCCTTCTTATGGAAAACGCTATGATCCTCTACTTGAGGTATTGAGAAACAACGTTGGAGATTTGAGAAATACCTTAGTTCTCAACTTAACCTCGAGTTGAGCTCAAACCTAAATGTTCATTGGGAGGTATCGTTTCAGCCCTATATATTCAAAATACCACGTTTCCTAAAGAAATGCCAAATAGAGCATTTTGCATTGATGACGATTGATGGGTTAGGTTATTAATATTTATCTACTTCATTTTCTCTAGTATGGCGGTCCTAAGGAAAACGAACTGGACGTGAACATTTTGTATGAACACTTGTTGCGGCACTCGGACTATCTTTTGAAATTACAAAACTACAGACGGAAAATCTCAGCCTAAATTTGTGTTAGCTTATAGACGTCAAGAATAAAATATGTACATACATATGTATTATATAGTAGGTAGTTGTGAATACATTATGATCCAAAAGTTTTATAAAGAGTCGTTATTTAGATGCATGTGTACACATACATGTGTACATATTTACGTATGTATGTACAATTTTAAATGTATAGTTATTCTGTTTGTAAATATCTCAAAATAAATATATTTAAAAAAAAAAAATCCTAGGTACTAGGTATTTATCAGGGACCGTAATCATTATGAGAAACATAATTATGATTTTTATCTTTTCGCTCAGAGATAATAATTATTGTTGAGGACATGGATCCAAACATAATATTTTCTAATTAGAATACTATATAAAACTACCTTAATATATTTCTTAAAAATACTTACCTTAAAATGTAGATTAAAATTGAACTAATTAGCTTCAAAAAATTAAGTTTGGATAGTTACCAAAATGTATACTTACCATGTATTTATAACCTACACGTATGTGCATATGTATGTACATTAGGAATGTTAATCGCGGGATCCCGGCCTTTTTTAGGTCCCGATAAACCCAGGATTCTTAGCAAATAATCCCGGGATTTTCGGGATTTGTAATTTTCACTGATGGCAATAATAGAAATTCCTTTTTTTGACAGTATTGGCTATATTTATTTTTTTATTTAATAATTAATATTTTGTTATAAATGTCTAGCTTATTATACATATAAATAGTAGATTTTAAACACAAAAATCAATTTATTCGCGAAACTATAGGCCAAATATAGTTAAATTGCGTTTTTAGTTTTTCACTCTGACGTCAGTAATTCAAAAATTATTTTAAAAAATTCATTGAAATGTATTTAGAATTCAAATTAAATAGGAAACTCTGTAGAATTTAAACAGATTCAATTTTTGGTGCATAAGTACTGGTAAGTATTGAAAATGTCCTTTTAACATTTTATCCTTGAAATTTCGCAATATTTGTTTTTGAAAAATTATATGTTAAGGACTTATATAAACTCGATAACATCCTCGAATTTCATCCTTCTAACTTTATAAGCTTAAAAAATTAAATATTTGTCCTTGTGAATGCAAAAAATTTTAATTTATTAAATTCTAAAGAAATTTCCTCTTTCATTTGGTACCCATATTTTTAATCTACATTGCATTGATATTTTTAAATAATTTTTGGAAGTAATCATATCTTTGAAATTTCAAAGTCCTTTAAAAAGAATCCTCACGTCAGAGAGAAAAAATCAAAATGCCACTTTAAATAAAAAAGTAGGTTTCAAACCCATTTATTTATTATTTATTTTATGGTAGGAGAACTTCTCAAGCAATATAGAAGCAATTTTTTCGATTTAAGTTGTTGAAAAGTAATGAATATCTAAATCCCGGGACTAATCCCGGGATCCCGGGATTGTGATAACGACATCCCGAAAATCCCGGGATCTTAAAAAGCGGAAAAATTAACATCCCTAATATACATACATATGATTAGCTACCTAACTCATATTAAAATAAAAGATGTCAAATTAATCGTTCGCTACACCCTCCCGAAGACGGACCTCTAATCGCTCTCGTGCTTATATAAATTTACTTACTCATTGTAAAAATAAATAAATATTGAATAATTAAAGACATTAAAAACGAAAACTCTACTTTTTTATTTCAACGGAAATAATAATTATTTTATTTATTCGCCAAAGCGTGAATAATTATTATTGAGTTTTATTTTTCCTCTTAGAATAATGATAATATGAAAACTTAAAAATCCATGTGATGCAAATAATTGAAATTTTTTAAAAGGTATACTCCGCAAGGGGCATGGTCATTGGCGTTCAACACGATAGATATGTACTAGAGGAATTGGAAGGTGAACCTGCCAAAATTGCAGCATATGCAGATGTTATCTAGCGCTGACCGACAAAAAGATGTAAGCGAAATTTTTTCAAAATTGTATTTTTGATGCAGAAATGGAACTAGATGCTAAAGAAACATTAAGCGGGAAGTAACTGTCCACAGTCAGCTCACTTACGAGCCAAGCACTACGAGAGATACGTCTTTGGACACTGATGTGGGACTTGTATCAACGCTGCAAAACAGATCTGGTACTCTTCACCAGAAAATACAAGATTGCGGAGTGGATTAAGTATAAGATGGATGGTGTGACCGTCCAAGTACTTTGGAATAATACACGATAACAAGCTATCGCTGCGCCTCAACCGTTTGTGGCTCAACATGGAGGAGAGGGCTAAGGAGACCTAAGTCGCGTTTAATGTTTGCAAAAATATCGGGGCTGGACCTGGTGGTTATTGCCTTCTCTTTTTCTCATTGGATCTACACGGGTATTAGTTCGGTGGACAGCAATTGAAAAAAAAATTTAAGAGTTGAAAGTGTATATATGTATACGGTGACCACCCGTCCTTTCTTTTAGAGGGCAGTCCTTTATTGCAACCCCCTGTCCTTTACAATTTTATTCAAAATAAAGGACGCGTTTTGTCCTGTATTTGAACTCTGGGTTTTAAAGATGTCAACTTTTAAACAGAAAATATGAAAAAAAATAAAAATGTCCTTTATAAAATATAACGAAAACCTTCGATAGTTTGTTTCGCACCCCACTTAAGGGTTTATATTTAATCGGTAATCTCTGTACAAGCTATAAATGATTGCTATTATAACGGGCCATTTTTTGCTGCCATCGCACGACTTTAAACTGGCTCTGACCAGTGATAAAATGTAGGAGGTGCACGATGAAAGAGGACAATGTTCAGACTGCGGATTTTATGCGGCACTGGGGATGGCCATACTTTGCGATAATGGAAAACGACAAATTAAACAAAAAAAAAAAGAAAAAACGGTCCACAAAACATTTTAGAGTAGTATAGTCAAAAATATTTTTTCAAAAATTTTGTTTTCATAAAAAGTTTAATAACGCGATAAACTTTCATCCGATTTGTGAAAATAAACACTAGTTTTTTCGTTATTAAATTTAGTTTTACAATCAATTTACGACTAATAAGGTTTTCTTATAAAATAAAGCATACAAACGGCACCAAAAATTAAAAAAGGCGAAAAAAGGAGAAAAATATGTTTGCTGGGCAAATACACACAGATCTCTTAAGGTTTCTTTATTCATATATATATATATCGTTCGAAAGACCCAAGCTTTTCTTTTTAAAATAATCTGAAACTTGTTTCATAATCACCTAAGCTACGGGCTTATAAGTGCGCAAAACTACGAAACCCCGGTTTTTAACGGTAAATCAAGATTTTGTTTCGGTGTTCGACAAATTTCATATTTCGATTATGGTTTTACTCGAAAATACGTACCAGAAAATATACATAACTTCCCAGCGAGCGATAATTTAAAAATCATAAACTAATTATGATTTTGATCCAAAAAATCAAACTCAACAAATATAAATCTGTGAAAATTACAACAACGCTGGAGAGGCTAATCGATCTGCATTTAAGGAGCGGGATCCTCAGGGAGCGCCTTCCCTTTGATCAGCATGCTTATTGCAAGGGCAAGTCTGTCGAAACGTCCTTACACACGGTCATTGAAAATATTGAGCAATCCTTCTCGCAGAAGGAATTTGCGGTCGGTGCCTTCCTTGTTATCGAGGGGCTTTTAACAATGTTTTGCCTGAGGCTGTAGTTAACTCCCTAAATAAACTAGGGGTCGGAGCCGACTTTGTCAGGTTTATTTACCGCTTGCTCTGCAATAGAACTGTCGCGGCAGAGTGGGGCAGCACATATCCGGAGGAGTGTGAGTAGAGGTACCCCGCAAAGGGGAGTTCTCTCGCCNCTTGTTAGGTTTATTTACCGCTTGCTCTGCAATAGAACTGTCGCGGCAGAGTGGGGCAGCACATATCTGGAGGAGTGTGAGTAGAGGTACCCCGCAAAGGGGAGTTCTCTCGCCATTGCTTTGGGTCGTTGTAATCAATGCCTGCTGGTGTCTCTGGAAAGAAGTGGCTGTCGGGTGGTTGCCTATTCCGATGATGTAGTATTGATAACAAAAGGGAAGTTTCGGGAAACACTGTTTGAGCTTATGCAGGGTTACTTGAGCTTGGTTGAGAACTGGGCCTTTAGCTGCGGGCTTGGTGTAAATCCCAGCAAAACGAAGCTTGTTCTCTTCTTCTGTTTCCGCTGCGCGTGCCGCAGTAAGGCTAAGAGGGGTGGGCTTAAAGTTCACCTCAAGCTATGGGCACTCCAGAATTCTAAGAGACTTCGGGTTCCTACCAACTCGGACAGACCACTGCACGCCGGTTCTGGGTCAGAATGGATCGTTTACCACTCACATCCCGGCGAGGAGAGACTGGGAGGGGCGCAGTATCCGGAATCGAGGACCTGTAAACTTATTTACAGATGGATCGAAGATGGGTGGGAAGGTTGGCGGAGGTGTTTTCTGCGAAGAGCTCTCCATCAACTTGAAATTTAGGTTACCTGATCACTGTAGTGTAGGCTTCGGATGGTTTGCTTTCTAGTGTAACATCTGTCACGGGGGTAAATATTTATTCTGACAGCCAACAGCCATCAGGGCTCTTGGCTGCCTGACGGTGCGTTCGAAAACGGTGAGGAAGGGTCTGGGGGCTCCCCTGACTTCGTGTGGTCTGCTTCTGGACAGATGGGCGTTTAGTCAGCTCAGCGAGCGCTGGGCGGCGACCTTTAAGTGCAAGGTGGCAAAGTCTTTCTGGCCACGGGTGGACCAGGGGCGGTCTGGGGAGCTCTTGAGACTAAGCAAGCTGCATCTGTCACTATTGGTGGGAGTGCTTACTGGTCACTGTGTGATTGGTAACCATGATGTAAGGCTGAATGTTGCGGATAACCCTTACTGCACCAGCTGCATGGAGGATGATGAGCTGGAATCATCTCAACATCTGCTGCTCTGGTGCCCCGCCTTTGCAAGCCTAAGGTTCAAGCAAAGCACGGAGCGTTTCTCCGGAAAAAAGTCATAGGTGTCGTCTTTCTCCCATTGCTTCCTCCCTCTTTCTCCTACCCTCCCTGCATCCCTTTTTTCCCCCTCCCCCTCTGAGGGCATCACAACGGACAGCTTAGTCGAGTCCAAGTGTGCCTCCACATGCGGAGGCAGCCCGCTTACCTAACCTAACCTAACCATGCGAGAAAGACGGTTGGTCTTAGAGGAAGTTCCGAAGATTCCACCAGTAACTCTACTCTGTACTCTGTAGTAACTCTTAGTAAACTCTGTTAACTTGCCGCCCTCAATTTTCGAACCGAGTCAGCGTTGCCGAAAGCTTTCGCTGAAAAATCGTCACTTTACCCTAAAAAAAATTTGTAATTTCGGCCAAAAAATCGCCAAATTTTTGTTTATTGTATTTTTTTAACAAAATAAAAAATACAAAGGAATTACAGACAATGAGTCGTATGTATAAAAATTAAGCAATTGCGTTTTCTTAAAATTGCATACCTTTAACTTAAATTAGGTTTTATGCATATGGTCCGAAAAATATGACCACACATTACAAAACCAAATAGAAGCCACATTGCATATGGGTTAACGACAATTTAAAATTACAATTTAAGACACAACTGCTTTGATCCAGTTTTATAGTAGGGGTCTTCACACGGAGCTTGGTACTCAGTGCTCGGTAATTTTTCCCAATGTATCTTGTTTGTGTAAAATTATTTTATTATCGTTGTACCGGTTACCGAATTATCGAGAAGGAAGCTTGATAATTTTTTTGGTAATTGGTAAACTCCAATCAGCTGTTCGATGTTTATTCAATTTTATATCCGGCCGCTGCCGCAAGGCATAACGCATATGAGTAATTAAAATTCGTTAAATTTTCTGTTACAATTATTTTTTTTAGGAAAAAGGCTACGAATCCGCTGTTGATAAACATAGTTTACCAGACCAACAAAAGAAAACTGAAAAGGACGCTCATAGTTGATAAAATTAACGAGTGTCAACCAGCAATTTGCAAAATGGATTTGAAGACCCTTAGTGTAATATTATCATTTATTAACTGATAGATAATTTTGACTGAAAAAATTCCCTCTCCTACTTTTCTGTCTCTTCCGAATCAGTGGCAGCAGTGCAAATCAACGATTTGGTTACAATTCTAGAACATATTTAATACACCTAAAAGCACAGTTGTGAAACAAAACTAAATAAATGGTTGTATTTTGGATTATGTTTTCCTGTAACAAATTTTTTACATACATATATACATATGTAATTTAGTGGAAAAAACTACAATAAAAAATCGTCATTAGGGGCGAAAAANCGAATCAGTGGCAGCAGTGCAAATCAACGATTTGGTTACAATTCTAGAACATATTTAATACACCTAAAAGCACAGTTGTGAAACAAAACTAAATAAATGGTTGTATTTTGGATTATGTTTTCCTGTAACAAATTTTTTACATACATATATACATATGTAATTTAGTGGAAAAAACTACAATAAAAAATCGTCATTAGGGGCGAAAAATCGTCAAAACGTCATTGAGCTAAAAAACGTCAAAGTGACGGCGAAATCGTCAATTCGGAAACACTGATCCGAGTGATAAACTTCTAGAGCTTTTACAATCCCCACGCTGATTCGTTGTTGCAGCTTCTCTGTATTTAACATTCTCTGCTTCAAGTAGTCAAGGATAATCGTAACAGCAGAGAATGTTAATAATGATTATTAATAATTTAATTAATTAGAGAATGTTTATAAAAACGCAAGTGTTTAGCTGTAAAATAACACAATATAAATATTGCAAACTTACTTATTTTACTCAACTTACCAAGTTGAGCAAGAAGAAATGGTGGAACGAAGCGGTATCTAATTGTTAAATTTATTCATACACATTTATCTGTTTTGTAACTAATTCAATCACACTTTTTAGGCACAATAAAAAGTATTCGCAAATTTATACATTTCACCGTTCGTTAGAAAATGAAAATTTTGTGTGGGTGACCCGCGAACAATGTATTTTTCACAAAGTGTTGCCAACTATGCCACTCAATTGTGGGACGTGTTGTCCATCGGAAACAGGATGTTTCAGAAGAAAATTGTTCAGCGGTTCATTTTTACGTGATTGTAGATTCAAATCTATTATGTGTCAAAACTATCTGACCGAGAACATTTGCGCCATCTGTAGGGACTTGATCCCATCTAACAACCAGTTTTGTTTTGCTTTCGCGTAGACGTCGCCATTGTCGTGCAATGTCAGCTATTCAGCATATGGCTGAATTGTTGTTTTCGACGCCATTTTTGTTTTTTGACGGCGAAAAAGAAACAAGCAACGAAATTCAACGGGCAACCATAGTGAAACGCATCATCGAGATTGCGTTAATTTTTCCTTGTTTTTACTCACAAATTAACCTTGCAATTTTAACTAAAAATATAGCCTGGTGAATTCCAATTAGTCTACTGGGCTTGTGTGTGCTTTAGCACATCAATTGTGCATAAAATAAATATCTCGTCGTGGAGCATTACGTGTGTATTGCAATTTTCGGTGGAGTAAAAAAATAACTACGAAACGGCGGCAAAATAAGTTTCCAATTTAGAATCGATAACATCGTTGAAATGTCGAAAGCCAAGAAATTATCATTGCCAAGCAATGATTCAACAGAATTTTACAATTACAAGCCTAAGGATTTAATTTGGTAAGTATAAGATTATAGTTTGGAAAAGGAAACGAAAACTAGTGAAAATCCCATGCACTGCTTAATATTTTTGGGTAATTGAAAGGGAGTAGTATAAAATGGCGCACATAACCTAAAAACGTAATTGAATACTCTAAAATAATTGAGAATGAAAGGCCGTGGATAGCAGCGCATGTGAGAAAAACCATCAGCCTACTTTTTCACAAGTCTGTAAGCATTTTGTCGAAATGAATAACTTTACAGTAGGCTACTGTACTATAAACTATTTTATCTGGACACGTTAGTGGCTATTCCTACAGCTTCATTGGCATCAAATGCACAACGCTTCTTACCTTTGATCGCGCATCGCCGCTCGCCATTGGTGCTACTTGCGCGCACAGCATAACTTATATTCCCCCCTTGCCTGCATGCCACCACTTAACCAGCAAAAGCATGTACAAAAGTGGTAAAGTGCAATAAATTTTCCCGCGCATTTTTTATCAAAAATAAAACAGCTGAGGTTTTTCATAATATTTATTATTATATTATATATAAGTAATCTATTAAAAATAATACTTATCGATTTTTTTTTATTTCAGGGCAAAAATGAAAGGGTTTACACCTTGGCCTGCAATGGTAAGTCAAACCTATTTATTGATTATTGGTTTTCAATAAGAAAACTAGCTCAAGAACAAAAGAAAAGGTTTTTTGCAGAATTTTTTAGTTTTATTTGACTGTAGGTACTTTGAGCTTCCGAGGTATCGGCTTTAAATATGCAGTTTTTGCTTTAAATATTCAGTTTGCCTTGTAATGATACGGTTCGGTTATGTGTACTATGATTTCGGGTTGTCGTGTCCAAACGTGTGACCCGAATCAAAAAATTCTTACATACACGTTTAGTCAAAGGGTTTAACTTTAATTTAAAACACTTATTTATTTATAACGTCTGTTTGAAATATGATTTTTTTTTGGTAAATTTCGAGGGGAGTTCTGCGCGAAGATCTGCGGATGGCGTAGCCGGAGTCCACAAGAAATGTATACCTTTGACAAAAGAAGAGGGGTTTCCCTCATATCGGCAACACATTAATGAAAATTCTACTTAGTAAGGGTTATAATCGCTAAGTGTGGCAGGAAACCAGAAAGAAGTAGTGCTCAAAAATGCTGTGGTTAGAAGGTTCAACAACGGGAAATATGACTTTTCTTCAAGTTTGCACTATGCTCTTTCTAATAGGAGGGGTGCCACACCCCCTCCGTTCCACACCACAAAATCATTGTACAAGTAACCGATCATTTCCCGAACTTATATTTATATTTTTATGTATGTATATTAGGGTGGTCCAAAAACAGTAATAAAGTCGGAATTAATGCTCTCACCCCCTAGACTTGTTCTATATCGAAAAAAGTATAGGTACCCCTATTTTTTATTTTGAAATCAAAAAATATTTAGAGGTCGCTCAAAGTGCTCAAAATTTTCCATGTATATTTATTTGGGGAAAAAACATCTTTTCGTAGAAATGGTATAGAATTCTTTAAAATCAATATTTTTCGATCCCCGATACCCGATTTGTTTATTCAACCATTTTTTGATACTAAAGATTTTTTATTGGTCCCCCCATTGAAGTTTTCGAGGTTTTTGTGGGTTTTTGGCGGACCTATAAATTATAGTTGCGATGAAAAAATGTTTAAATAAACAATTGATTATTATTATTGGGAATCTGCCGCAGAGAAACAGTTCTCCGATAGAAAAATATTGATTTTTAAGAATTCTATACCATTTCTACGAAAAGATCATAAAATTCCGACTTTACTTTTTCCTGTGTATTTTTGTACCACCCTAATGTACATACTCAGTAGAACTTGGCATTGTATATCCTAGGAGAGGGAGTAATCTATTTTACCTCCTAAACGAGCAATCGGGGAGCACACACAGAAATATCAACGCACAAACTTGCTAAGGGAGCAATACGGCAGTACTGCCCATGTAACCTCCCAGAAACCTCCCAAAAAGACAACAATGGACTGCACATAGAAAACATCGCACATTTCTGCCGAACGAGCAATAAGGGAATGCTCCCATAGGAGGCATCCCGCAAACCTCCTGTACGTGTAATAAGAGAGCAATGAAAATCTCCATACGAGCATTTTACATTAGCTAAACAGATTTTACTATTTATTTAATTTTTTAATTTAGCTTTTTAATCTGGTGCATGTGTACAATTTTATGAGATCTTAAAATTTAGCAGCACGAGATCAGATGAAACATAAATGAAGAATTATCATTTATGCTTAATATTAGAATTATATTGCAGAGAAATCTTATGAAAGTAAAACATAATACATAATACACAGGGACGGTAATCAATGTGAGTAAAATAATTTAAATAAGCACTTAATCATTATTTTATGATATTTATTTTTTTCGCTTAAAAATAATTATTATGGAGTTTTATTTTTTCGCTCTAGGAAAATAATTATTTGTCGATTTTTATTTTTTGGATCAGAGATAATAATTATTGAGTTTTATTTTTCCACTTAAAAAATATGATTATTATAAAATTGAAAAGGTCATGCAGACGCGGCCTACTGAAATTTTTACCTGAAAATTTTGGGGCTTATTCCTTTTATTAGGATGTCGCTACCTCTTAAAAGGATACAGCGGAAATCACGCTGGTATAGCTTTTGAGTTTTTTGAATAATCATTATTCTTAAGTGAAAAAATAAAACTCAGTAACAATTTTTATCTTTGATCAAAAAAATTAAAAAAAGCGAGTAGTAATAATTTCCTTTGAAAAAATAAAACTCAAAAATGAATTATTACCTTTGGTTAAACTCGAAAAATAAAAATTGTAAATTGCGCACATACACAACGTCAGATGTGACTAAAAAAAAAGTTTAGTATGCACTTTTTAGCCCATTCAATTTTAGTACAATAAAGTGCACGTCTGAGGAAGCTAGGACTTGCCATTGATTTTTGGCAAATTTTTTTGTTGAAGATGTTGATCAAAATAGCCTAGTAAAAACCAACGTTTACAAAATTTAAATTGATCATCAACTCATCGTTTAAAAAATTGCAATATTTGAAAAAATATTTGCAGAATTTTCTTCTATTTTGCACAAGGTTTGAAACTCTGATTTTTGGGGTTTTTGTTGTAGGACCAACCTAATTTTTATAAAAAAATAGCGAAAAATAAAATATTTAAAAAAAGTTGTCTGTATTGCAAAAACTCGCTGTACCTAAACTTTATTGACACTGTACGTGTATACTGTTTTAATATACACAAATTCAATTCTTTATAGATTGTTGAACCGTCAATTGATCTATTGAATCAGCCACGAAAAGCTAATACGAAAAGCGTGTTTTTCTTCGGAACTCGAAACTTGTAAGTATCATTGTTTTTATTTACCCAAATATGTCACTTTCGACTGATAACAGTCTGGTTTCAATACAAAAATTAAAAATTAATTGTTGAATGTGAGTTAATTCCTCACTGCAAAATAAACTCGTAGTATTTTATGCACTTATAAGGATTGCCGTGACTTAACATAACTAATTAAATTTGTTTGTATAATTTTTTGTTAACCTTCTGAAAGCGCCTGGATAGAAACCAATAATATAAAACCATTCGAAGGTCCGTGGAAAGCTGAATTAGCAAAGGTCAATAAACCAAATTCGTTCCGACACGCGATGTCTGACATCAATGCTTACATAGAGGATCCCACAGAAGTCGATGCAGAGGTCAGCAAAAACACGATCAGTAATCATACCACGGAAGCAGACTTTGATAAGATACGCGATGGTCTCACCGATGATGATACAACTAATGACATACGTGGCGTGGATGATGCCGACAACGGTGTAGAGACTATAACCGGTGATGTTGCCGTCGATTTAGATGAAGTTCCACCCCCATATAAGACACCTGTAAAGCGCACGCCAAAAGCAAATCAAGTGCTGTGGTTGCGGTGAAAGCAAAATCATCTGCTAGTGGAACAGCCACTAAGTCATCTACAAAACGCCGACGTTCCTCACAGACGGCAAATACTAGCGCCAAGCGTAAACGCAATTCTTCTGTTGGCGCTTTAGAGGATCTAAACGATTACATAAATCGGAAGTCCACAACAACACCACCGTCACGTCGCAAAATAAATACCGATGTTTTGGCCCATATTGGCAGCACATCACGGCGCAATGTCAACTCGATTGCTTTACTGGATCGGCCGGTGGTGTCACGCCCCGAAGCGCAAGCAATTGATATGAACGCACGTTCTCAAACATTAGCCGAACGAGACATAACACCATCCCAGTTGACATTCGGCTTCCTTGGTTGGGTATTATGGGTTCAACTATAGTTAAGGATCTGCTGTGCACCGGTCATAAAGTGGTCGTATGGAATCGCACAATGTCAAAAGTAAGTAAAAAACCATTTAAATAAGAATACGTTTTCAATTATAAACATTAAGCTTACAAAACTTTGATTTTTTGTTTATAAAACGCTTGAAAGTAAGCGTAATATAATCGAAAAGGAACATTGGTTATAAGCGTAGAAATATAAACTTGTAATAAATGTTCAAAAGAAAGCTTTTTATAAGCGTAAAAGTGTAAACTTATAATAAAGGTTAAAAAAAAGTTTTTTATAAGCGTATGAATATAAACTTACTAAAAATTTTCAAAATAAAGCTTTTTATAAACATTTTTATAACCTTTATTTAAAGATATTTCATTAAAAACTCATACATAGATTGCTTAACATCTAGAAACTAAACGAAATGCGAATTTTCGGCGGACTCATCTACAGTCGCGAAAATATAAATAGGGAATAGACATTTTAGCATACAAATTCACAATAACACATACAAATTAAGCATAAAAAAGATAATTATTACATCTTGTTGCGTGCTTTCAATTACTTGCGGTTATTGGCAAATTGGAAAAGCGACATCGATGCAGCTATATATTCCGCTTCATCGCAGCCATTCTCATTGATGAACTTTTCTGAAAAAAATTTAATACATTTTTAATTGAATGTTAAACTAAGAAAGGATAAGGGAACTCATGATTTGAAGACTCGAATGCTCCACCGATTAGCGCAGCGGGTCCTGGATTGGACTTTTTTTACCACATCGGTTTTATTTATTTTTTTCTTTTAATAATATATTTTAAAAAACGTAAACACGTGACTTACGATTGAAAAAATTTTATATTTACTACTTCATGTCGTTGGCATTTACATTTCATTTATAAGTTTTAGTTATTTATAAACATTCGCTCTCAAAACTTATTAAAGGTTTATTTGAAAAAACTTTTAATAAGCTTAATATTAAAAATGCTTATTTAACGCTTATTATAGCAAACTTAATTTAAGTTATTTTTAAAAACGTTTACTGAAATGCTTGTTGGGAAGTTTTTTTGTATTTTTCTATTGTTATTTTTTTTCCAGTGTACTCCGTTCGCCGACGCGGGCGCCGATGTTAAAGGTACACCCATGGATGTAGTTGAAGTTTCAGACGTGATATTCTGTTGCGTCTCGGATCCAAAGGCATCAAAAGATGTAAGATTTTGGATTAAGTGGACGACTTATAACTTATAATTTACATATCTTTGCCTTAACCAAGAAATGTCCCAATACGTATTTATGTTTGTTTACAGAATGATCTAAAAAGTTTATAGATACTTAAGTTATTTAATTACGAAATTCATTAAAACTAAATTTTTAATGAAAACATTACAATTTTCAAGCTTTGGTAGTTTTTAAATTACTATTCAGGTTTTAGTAATATTTCACTGACTTTTGTTCAAAGCTGAATGTGGAAAGAAAATCAGTTAGGGCTTTTCCAAATTAAGGTAAAATTTGTAGGTTTTTAGGATAAATAATTTTTCTAAGTATAATTATTTTCTGATTTGTATTATAATATTTAAATCTGTTTTATTACAGCTTGTATTTGGTAATTGTGGTGTATTGGGTGTGAAGGATATGAATGGAAAGGCATATGTCGAGATGTCCACAATAGATCCTGAAACTTCACAGGACATAGCTGAAGGCATACAATCTGCAGGCGGACGCTATTTAGAAGTACAGGTAGACAAATATGCAATTTATTTATTCGCATATGATTATTAAGCTTATATGGTTTATAAATTTAAAGAAAATTAAATCATTTCTTGTTTGTTGATAGATTCACGGTACACGACAGGAAGCCGAAGACGGCATGCTTATCATTCTTGCCGGTGGTGACCGTTCAGTTTTTGAAGATTGCCATTCGTGTTTCAAAACAATTGCTAAAAATACATTCTTCTTGGGCGGTAAGTTTCATATACTCGCTATCGATTTATCATTTAATCAATCTTTGATTACGGAAATGCCGTTTCTATCAGGGCTGCAAACCACTCCAAAAAATGGTGCAGTTCGGTACAATGGTTCGAACCACTTAGAAAAGGCTTGTACCAGTTCAAGAGCCGGTTGTGTTGTTGTAACAGCATACAAATTCCCCAAAGAGATTTTGGGGAGTGTTGCTGGAGTGACAGTCCTTGGCCAGATATACATCTGGGTCGTTCCGGTTACGTAGACCCGACTGTCGTGGTTCATGAGTATTGCTTAACTGCGCTTCGGTTCGGTTCAAATGGTTCAATTTTTTTTTTAATGCTGAAGGATAGTAATATTACAAAAATATAGCAAATCTATGTACTGTTACTCACAAAATTGAGCGTACGCTATTTTTTGTTAATATTCGCAATGTTTTACATGCTAAAATCTTTTTGTGATTTTTGTAAATCCAAGAATGAAACAGTGTACGAAAATTAAGAAAATCTGCAAAGTCTCACCACAATCGCGAACTTTTTACTACGAATTTCTTAAACGAATTCAGGTATACAGTTTTATAGCCCATAAAATANATAATAATGAGCGAATTTCAATTTTTTTTATCAATCAAGACACTCAGAAGTTTGAATTGGCACTTAATGTTGAAACCCTCATTTTTGGTAGGTTGGCCTGAACCTCAAATGTATAAGAATACTTATGGTAAAATATTAGGTGTTAGATATTGGACTATTTTTCTTTTGTTGGTTTAATGTTCATTATTTTATTTTTTTTTAAAGCATAGCTCGTTATATAACAGCAACCATATAAGTCCAAATTTCACTTTGTACTAAAATTAGAAAAAAATATACAAACTTCAATAAGATTTCATTATAAATAGCTTCAAGCTTTTTAATTAGAACTAAATAATAATGCAATTTTAGCTCATTCAACTTTAATGTAATATGAAAAGTGCCAGTTTGAATAACATATCTTAAAATTCGCACCGATTTTTAATTTAATTTTTTTTTTGCAGACAGTGATATGCAGTTTCTTCCTTATAAAAATATTTTAAGCATTTTTTATACGGACGAAATTATAATTCACAGAGATGCCATGAAACTCAAAAATGTTAGCGGTTTTACAATAGTGCTGCATTTTTAGTCAAAGTTGTGAATTTATTACAAAACTTGAAAAACCAAAGTTTTGAGTGGTTTTCGGTTCGGTTATTGCATTTCAAAATAAAAATGGTTCGGTTCGAAGCCCGAAAAAAGCGACGGTTCGGTTCAAAAACCGGCTCGGTACAAAACCGGTTTGCAGCTCTGGTTTCTATATTCTAAAAGCCTACTTTTACATTCTATAGGATGTCTTTCAATAACGTCAATGCAATTAATGGTACATATTCACTTGTTTTTATTTTAATGTGCAACTTTATCTTTATCTATGTTTCCTAAAATGCCTTCACCCAATTTTAGCAGAAGTTGGGAATGCTTGCAAGGTAAATTTAATACTGCAAACGATAGTGGGAGTTAGTTTGGTTGGACTTGCAGAAGCCTTAGCATTGGGTGAGTTTTAATTTGATGAACATCTACGTATGTATGTATTCCAGCAAACTTAACTTATTTGGTATTTTGTTTCTTGTAGCCGATCGGTTCTCCATTTCCCTGAAGGACATTATTGACATATTTGAATTGACATCGATGAAATCCCAGTTATTGTTAGCCAAAGGCAAAGGTGAGTCTTAAGTCATAAGGATTGCACGGTGTAACCGGTTTTCATATGGGAAAGCTTTGCCAGCCGCTTGCAATCCTTATTATCTTTTACTGCTTTGAAGGTTAATTAAGCATTTTTCGCTTTTCTACCCATTTACAGAAATGGCAAAGGGTGATTTCAACCCACAACAGCCATTGAGTCATATGCAAAAGGATCTGCGCCTTGTACTCAGCATGGCGGAGAATTTGGACCAATCAATGCCTGTAACCGCAATAACAAATGAGGTCTTCAAGCACACAAAAAGGCTTGGCTACAGTGAACACGATTCGAGTGCCGTATTTGTAAGATCCAGATTTTAACATTTAGTTAATACAGCAACTTTTTAAAACTTTTATCATCTAATATATGCGATGAGGTTTTGCATCTACAAACAACATAACTAAACAAAACACTAGACAGATGACCTACGTAATGCTTAACGCGAAAAATGAGCCACTTTTTTCCAAACCTTAGTAAATGATAAATTCACTATGCGCAACTAAGTTGCAAATCAGCAAGCCAGTACGCTTGAAAATTTTAGACGTTTTCCGCTTCTCTAATTTAAAATATTCGGGCTAATACACTGTATTTATGCATTCCGCGCAAGCCCAAATAAATATCTAGGACCAACAACCGCGACCAGGACTAAGCAATATTTTTAATATCAGACAGAATAACGTATATAATTTATGCAGCACATATGCAGGACAAAGTAGTTATGCTTAAACTTGTATAAAAAGCGGCAAAAAATATTGATATCACCCCCAAAACCGGCATACGATAGGACCAGTCGACCAATATGAAAGTAGCAACATGAATACTGACTGATAGAAGTGAAAGCGTCGAATGTGCATTGAAAACTTTGAAAAAATTACACAACTGAGTAAAAAATATATAGAAGTATATACATATATATATATATTAAACGATAAGGCTTAACAATCTTAAGGAAGAAAAAATTAACACGACATATAAATGTGTAATTGAGTGCACATTAATGTGGAAAATGTAGTAAAGAAGTGTAAATGTGCGCAAACATAAATGAAAAATTGTCGCATGTCGCATTGCAATTCATTTATATATTTGTTTTTATATATATAAATAAATAAAAAGGAAAAACCAAAAAAAAGCAGTACGAAAAATTGCGTTATCAACAGGGTTGGGAAATAATTTTGGTGGAAATATTTCAGGTTATTCATTAAAATGGATTGGCAAAAAACGCAATAGTTTTAAATCGAAGGACTACACCACCTAAAGGTTTGGATGCATAGGTTATCGTTTTCCTTTTAAAATAAACTAAATAAAAACATTACTTGCATGATTTTATGGTTATGAATGTTAGAAAAAATTTCCATAATTATTTCGTTTCCGAGTGTTTCTCTTATTAAAATTGTGTGTACTTAAGACTAAAGAAACTCATTGAATATCTACTAATATTTCCCAACCCTGTTCACTTTACCTCTACTTATGTACATACATATTTTTATGCTTATCGGTACCAAAATTACATATTCACAACTAATACACACGACGATCACTAGCCTTAACATTTTGAGTTGTTACAAAACCAGGCTCTTGATTTTCAATTTTTTAATTATGTTCTATTTTACTTATCATGCATCCTTTTTCTTTTCGTTTTTCTAATTTGTATGTGCTTTTGCATATATTTAAAACTATCTAAAAACTTTACTAAAACCTGCAAATCGTCAACTAATCAAATCAATTGCTGCAATCAAACCAAAAATTGGATACGTGTTCTCTTCAATGCGAAATACTTAAGCATTTTCCGAAATGTACAGCTGCAATCAATAGGGATAAGTCAAAATTACAACAACCGCTAAATTCAGTAACACAACGCCATGCCAATAACTGTAACAACTATGGACTATGTATTAAAAAAGAAATTACTTTTGGTGAGGAAAACAGCTGTGGAGCGCAAAAAACTGTCAACGCTTGTAAGGATAGTTTGACCGCACATCTTGATCTTAATGATAGTACAAATGCTGCTACTAAAGTATTGGAAAAGAAATTAAAAAAGACGCTATTTTGAATCGAGTTCATACACATTACTATCATAATCATAATACACTATAAATCATTATATACATACATATGTATGTATAAAGTTTTGAAATACTTAATTTGTGCATTAATCTTTGTTGCTCATATTTTTATAATTTCCAAGTATTTTAAGATACCCAATTATCATATAAAATTCAGTGGAATAATGACTCAAATAGGTATATCTTTTATCACTTATCATCAGTCTTGAGAATATGTGTAATCGTTCATGTGGCAATATGAAAAGACTTGATTTTTTTCGTTAATTTAATGTGAATTAACGTTTTCAATTGTTTCAAAACTTTTATAGAAATATCAAAAGTTTGTATGAAAATAAATGTATTTGTTGTAAATGTCACGAATATATTCTTGTCGTTATCATTAAAGCCCATAGGAGATGCTTTTTAGGTTTGACAATTTTAATTCAAACATGAAATGCATTGCAGGGTTACTTTGAAGCCCGAATTTTCATTAAATCAACATTTTTCTGAGAATGCCATTTTGAATATTCTGCAAAGATAATATGCTTAATATCCAAATGTGCGTGTGTGAACGATAATGGCCTTTAAATTTAAAGAGCTCTATAAAGTATCATTTTCATGCAAGTTTTCGATTAATAAGGCAGTTAAACCCCCCTATTATTAAATCATCACATGCACGATAATCGCTTGCATTCAGTTATCTCATATTACGAACCGATGTTTATCGTAGCAAATCCGATAGTGTTAGCGTAACTGATTTGTATTGGTTAACGATACGAGCTGGCAAGCGTTTATCGTCTATCGTAAGGAAATTCATAATAGGGGCAAAAAAAGTTTTAACCGACTTCACAAAAGGGAGGAGGTTATCAATTCGTCGGTATATATATATTTTTTATATATCCCAGAAGATAATTTAGGTGGGCCTTCTTAAGTGAAGCCNCGTTAATTTAATGTGAATTAACGTTTTCAATTGTTTCAAAACTTTTATAGAAATATCAAAAGTTTTATGAAAATAAATGTATTTGTTGTAAATGTCACGAATATATTCTTGTCGTTATCATTAAAGCCCATACGAGATGCTTTTTAGGTTTGACAATTTTAATTCAAACATGAAATGCATTGCGGGGTTACTTCGAAGCCCGAATTTTCATTAAATCAACATTTTTCTGAGAATGCCATTTTGAATATTCTGCAAAGATAATATGCTTAATATCCAAATGGTAGCCATTTTTTTCAAATGTAGGCAATGCAAAACTTGGAGTGATCACGAAAAGCTTTTTATTAAATTATTTGCTGTTCGGAGGCGACAAAAGTCCGGTCCAATAAAGGAGCACATCAAGCGTGTGTGAACGATAATGGCCTTTAAATTTAAAGAGCTCTATAAAGTATCATTTTCATGCAAGTTTTCGATTAATAAATCGTCACATGCACGATAATCGCTTGCATTCAGTTATCACATATTACGAGCCGATGTTTATCGTAGCAAATCCGATAGTGTTAGCGTAACTGTGATTTGTATTGGTTAACGATACGAGCTGGCAAGCGTTTATCGTCTATCGTATGGAAATTCATAATAGGGGCGAAAAAAGTTTTAACCGACTTCACAAAAGGGAGGAGGTTATCAATTCGTCGGTATATATATATTTTTATATATCCCAGAAGATAATTTAGGTGGGCCTTCTTAAGTGAAGCCATTCTAAGAGGCCTACCCAAGAAGGGCTGAAAAAGTACTTCCTTGCATGCCTTCTACAAGAGCTTATCCACTTACAATTTACGCGAATGCATAAATTTATATTATTTAGCATTACAAATGANAACTGAAAAAGTGCTTGCTTGCATGCCTTCTACAAGAGCTTATCCACTTACAATTTACGCGAATGCATTAATTTATATTATTTAGCATTACAAATGAATTTTAATAAACATTTTAAGTTACAATAACACAAATTTCATATAAACCTTAACCAAATACTTCAAAGATGTATGAACTTTATAAATTAAAGAAGCATCTTTAAAAGAACTCCTCCAAAAGGCCTTGTGAAGCACGTCCTTTAAAAGCCCTTCTAGAAGGCCGTCTATGGATAGCGGAAGAGGAAGGCCTTCAATTTGTGCTACTCCATACAAAAAAAGAAAGGAGAAAGGAATGTTGAGTGGAAGGCCTCTTGATTCTCANTTAAAAGCCCTTCTGGAAGGCCTTCTATGGATAGCGGAAGAGGAAGGCCTTCAATTTGTGCCACTCCATACAAAAAAAGAAAGGAGAAAGGAATGTTGAGTGGAAGGCCTCTTGATTCTCAGGAAGGCCTTTCGGAAGGGCTTTTAACTCCTGAAATTATCCGCTGGGATATGTTTGTTAGTTCATATATCGCACACCTAGATCTAAAGAGCGATCAACACAAACAAAAAAAATGTGGGCGATTTTTTTGCATAAATCAATTCATAGCATTTACATGCAATTAATAAAATTTTTTTTTCGTCATGATTATATACATGTTAACACATTTCGTGTGTTTCTTATATTTTAATAACTCTAAACATGGTGGAATTATTTATTTATTGCGCCATGAACTCTAAAAATATGTACAAATTTTGACAGTTGGAGATGTTTTCCAGATTAACGGAACATCCCTGTCTAAATTTGAGTGCATTCCAAAACGTCGCAAAACAGAGCTGAGTATCGTTTGTTTCTAAATCACACTAGGAGAACAAGTCTAATTTGTGCATCTAAGTAGAAAACTACAATCTAACCGTGGTTGCACACATTTGGCACGCCAATCTAGTGAGGTTTAGAAATAAAAGAGACTGATGCTTTGTATTTTGACGATTTGGAAAGCACGCTTTCATACATTTTCTCTTCATCTCTGAACTATTTGTCCAGTTTCGCAGCAGAACTATAGTTTATTGACCTACATATATGTATTTTGGGAAGTATCGCAACCAATCCAGCTCAACAACTACTCATAATTTTTTGTTAAGCACCATATAACAGATATAGCTCTGATCCAGTACTCCATGAACTTACAGGTTTTTACACGAACCTGCAAGAAGTTACATGAAAAATGATCCCGTACTTCAAAATACTGTAAATTAGAGCGATTTTTGAAGAGTTTTGTAAAGAATGAACTTGCAAGATTTTACCCAAACTTTTTCTTCTGGTAAAAGCTCTGATCCAATACTTTTCGTCATGAACGAAAGACACAAGATCACACAAGAAGGAAAGAAAGAAACAGATTATTTTCTAGCTGTTGAAATCTCGACTCCCATCTTTGTTGTAAGAAGTAAAAAACTTGCACTACGCTATAGCGGATCCGCAAGATACTTCATTTCTTTAAATAAAATTAATTGCTGCTATATGTATGTACTTTAGACTGCATCACAACAAAAGAAATGCGGGTTTTCCGCCGTGATTACAAAGTTTATTATATTTTAAGACGTCCACCAAAATATTTCGGAAAAATAATCAGGGCTATCACAGAATCCATCGTAGCTTCGATTTTCGTGAAACCTACGAAAGTGCTATCACAGAATCCGAATGGCTACGAACGTAATCAGTGATAGCAATTTTTTCGTATTCGTAGCAGGCGTCCGAATTCGTAGATTTTCTACGATGGATTCCGTGATAGCCCTGAATAAGATTTAAGTGAGCTGGGCCGATTTGAAAATACCTCCAAAAATGGAGTTTTTTATGAATAAAAATATTTCTTAAAGAACTTTTTGAAAAAAGTCCCCTCAGATGACCGAAAGGATTAAGCTTCAAAAATCTGCATAGAAATCTTTTCAACGGAATCGTAATAATGAGATTTTTGATGCTGTTTTTTTTTTTTACTTTTTTCAACGATTGATTTACAAAAATCTTGAATAACTGCGCCAAAACTATTCTGATTTAGACTGATGGGATCTCAGTAGAAAGGTATTTAAAGTTAAAGTCATTCGTGTCCCAATTTCTATTTTATTTTCTTCAAATACCATAACACATCTTAATTCAAC